TAATCTTTTTTATCTATTTGAGTTAAATTTGTAACCAAGTAAACTTAAACATTATTTATGTGAACCTTTTATGAATAATTATTTTGGACTTAATATTTAATTTTAGTTAGCGATTCACAAGGCCCTGAAGAATTTGAAAATTTGACTGGATCACCAAAACACGGTAATCCTTTGAATAATAAATAATAACGAGAAAAATAGTTTTAAAAAATGTAAATATACAGAAAAAAAATATGTATGTTTTTAATTATTCGAATAATTTCACCCATTTATTAATGTGTCAACAAATAGCTGTGTCCCTTAAAATGTTTCTTGTATTCGGTGCATTAACTTATGGTACTGTACTAAAACATATTGTTCGAAATTTATTTAATGAATAGACAAGAATAGGTAACAAATAATTGTTCGTGCACGAGTTATTACGCATACGTGTGAGCGTCCTTTTAAAAATAAAGCAAGTAAAGTTTGTCCGTCAATTGCCGTTTTCGTTTAAGTATATCGACTGTCGCAAACATTAAAATATTTTTAATTTACGGGAGATTTATTGCAGTGAACATGATTAGTGTTACTCATTCGATAATTAATACGGTTTATGTTGCTTTTATAATATTACATATTGTCACAATTAGAGATGTGCATTGCATTAAGTGTGTATTGCTTAACGCCTCACGCTACGAACAAACCGCGGAAACAGAACTGAAACATATTATTAACTAGTTATTTATTTTAACTGAATACAAATTTAAAAAACTATACAAATATTAATCTTTTTTATCTATTTGAGTTAAATTTGTAACCAAGTAAACTTAAACATTATTTATGTGAACCTTTTATGAATAATTATTTTGGACTTAATATTTAATTTTAGTTAGCGATTCACAAGGCCCTGAAGAATTTGAAAATTTGACTGGATCACCAAAACACGGTACTCCTTTGAATAATAAATAATAACGAGAAAAATAGTTTTAAAAAATGTAAATATACAGAAAAAAAATATGTATGTTTTTAATTATTCGAATAATTTCACCCATTTATTAATGTGTCAGCAAATAGCTGTGTCCCTTAAAATGTTTCTTGTATTCGGTGCATTAAGTTATGTGTTCCACGACACGTTTCTGTCGACTTCTTTCGTTTTCGATGGCAAACACTCGGTTCATTTTCTTCGTTAGTCGTCGCATTTTTCGCGTCGATTACGGTCGTCGTGAACTGATTTATTACATTTCGCGTTGAGAGGATGACATACTCCTAAGTGCCGTCTCCGAAAAAAAACTACGCAACATTGCATAGTTTCGTTCGGCATTATTAAAAATTCAATAAATGGACATATTATCATTTCAAATAAATTTTGGTGTCAACATTTTTGATTACCGTTAACCCGTTAATGATATACTCCACTTTTAACTTTATTCTGGTATGGAGCGAGCAGTAAATTTTACAATTTCATCAAAGTTTGATTGAAACGTTTTAAAATAAAATAAAATTTTACATTACACACTTTTTTATTTTTTGAAACAAAATGCATTTTATCCCCATAACCTGCCCGACTGAGTTTGGCCAAATAAAAATGTTTAACTCGTGTTTGAACTCGAGACCACTGGGTCAACAACAGGTACATACTATCCATACACTACGACAATTAATTTTAATAATTAAGAATTAAGATTTAATATTTTCTTTCTAGTGATCGATTTTAATGAAACCGGGAAATTGCCTGGATCACCACAACGCGGTAAGCCTTTGAATAATAAATAATAATGAGAAAAATTGTTTGACAAAAAAATTTATGTGAACTAAAAAGAACATATATGTTTACAATTATTTGAATCATCCCACCCATATAATATAAGTGGGTGAAATGTTAGCTGTGTTCCTTAGAATCGTTCTTGTATTCGGTGTTTTATCTTTTAATACAGATATAAAACATATAAGTGTTTTCCTTGCCTCTTATTTTAAATTAAATAAGATGATTGATTTATTATAAATTGAATCTTGTTCAATATAGGCTCCTTAGGGAAACGTAAGTGCTATACTATACATAGTTATTAATATTATATTTATTATTCTTATGTTAAATGTTTATTTTATAATGCATATTGTTTATCATATGATTTTTCTGAATTTTATTACGTATTGTGATTGGAACGAGATTATTCTGAGTTTTTCTCTCATTTCCAAAAACGTCACTCTATTATCCTTTAAATAAAGGTTGTAAGAAAAACTTAGTACGTTACAAATTTACTAACACTACAATTTTTTATTCTAATATTTTCTATAATTTGATGCCAAAATTGTGATTTTAATAATATTTTGATTTTTATCTACCTTGTTCTAATTAGATGCTTATAAACCTCTCTTTTAAGTTGGTTTTAACCAAGTTTGTCTGTATAATTAGAATTATAGCTCGTTTTATTTACATCGAGAAAATTAACGTATTGAATGCACCTAAATTATTTAAGAAGTGTGAAAGAACATTTACCGAATTAACACGGTAGGTGTTTTTAGTTTTCGTATTTGAATGAACGGAATCTGAGTTTTTCTACTTTTAAAAATAAAAATGAAAATTAGTTTTTCGTATCATAATAATAAAAAATGAAAATAAATATAATTTAGAAAATGGTTGTTTTTGTATTAACGAAACTTTAGGAATTTAATTGTTTGGCTCTTCACCGCTTGCAACACATTATCCTGACAAAGATTCGGCGTTAAATAATTTATACAGAGTAATCGTCATAAAGCAGGAACTTATTGTCTCAGAAATTGTTAGAAAAGAACCTAATCAAGAAATTACCGTAGTATATGAAATGTAAATTTAAATACATATTTGTAGTGCAATTTTTTATTTCCATCAACCAGTTGATAAGAAATAACAATTTTATATTTCGATAAGTGGGGATTAGTATCAAAATAATTGTTGTTGAAACGTTTTTTGACAAAGAAATGTATATGGATTGAAAAAGAACATAAAATTTTCAATTATTTGATTCACCTCATGCATATATGAATGTATCAGATTTTGGCGTTGTCACTTGAAATGTTTCCGATATTCAGCCTGTTATGTCATGGCCCTGCAACAAAACATATAAGTTATTATCTTGCCTCCTATATGGAATTAAATAAGATGATTTACTAATTATGAATCGTATTCTGTTCAATATAGGCTCTTTCGTGAAACGTAAGTGTTATACTATATACAGTTGTATACAGTTGATTATTAGCTTATTATGTATATAAGACTTCATAAGTAAAGTCTTAAAAAAGTATATGTTGAATAATGTATTTAATTATGCATTTTACTTTTTTATAACACTATTTTGTACCACAGGGCTTGGAAAATCTTTAAAAGGATGTAAGTTTTTTTTTTTGTTATTATACTTTCGTTATAAATAATTGTTGACATATCTTATTTAGAATACAGTTCTTGGTGGTAATATATTTTGCCATTTCGGTTGATAATTAATTTACAATTTGTTGACTTTTTTATACTGTGTTATTATTTATTTTTATGTTANTTATTATATATATTAGACTTCATAAGTATAGTCTTAAAAAAGTATATGTTGAAAAATGTATTTAATTATGCATTTTACTTTTTTATAACACTATTTTGTACCACAGGGCTTGGAAGATCTTTAAAAGGATGTAAGTTTTTTTTTTTTGTTATTATACTTTCGTTATAAATTAATGTTGACATATCTTATATTGAATACAGTTCTTGGTGGTAATATATTTTGCCATTTCGGTTGATAATTAATTTACAATTTGTTGACCTTTTCATTCTGTGTAATTTTTTTATTTTTATGTTAATTTTTTTTTTATTTTTTTATATATTTTATTAATTTTTGTTTTTGATTAATTATTTTCAATTATTATAATTGTATTCGTATAGTATTTTACGTCCAAAGAGCAATAAATTATAAACCAAAAAAATACAGAAAAATATAAAACAAAATGAATTGGAATATAATCAAACAGGGTTAACTAGAATTAATTTTGTATGTGGTCAAACAGTGTTAAGCTTAGAGTTAAATATAACAGATATCGTTAGCTCAAGAAATGATTGATCTATGTCTATTGTCTAGGTGTTCGATCGAATAGATGCCATCTAGACTTAGTAATAAGAGATATCTTTTGTTGTTTTAGAATGTGTAAATAGTCTAGTCTGGAATCATGTGGTTGATTGTCAAACAGATTGTTCCACAGTCAAAGGAAAATAATTCGGCTATAATATTTACGGTAGTCATTTCTTGTTCTAGGCCTGTTTAAAGTCGACTAGTCTCTGCAAGGAAGGTGTTTAAACTTTAGTGTAGATGTAGGATCAGTCGTTGTATTATGTTAGTCAAGAGTTGATTTTTGCCAGGCGGTTTTATAGGACTCGGTTATATTGAAATGCGTTTCTCGTAGTTGTTTCGTTGTATACCAAACTGGGTTTCGTGATTTCAGTTTTTTTTTCACTAGCTGTTTAATATTTCATAGTTTATGGGAACATTCGTAATTAGTTTATAGTTAGAAAATATTTTTATTTCTATGTATTTCATGTAACGGGCAAATGTAAAAATAAACAAATGAATTGTAGAAAAAATAAATATTGTTTAACACAAATACGGTAATTCATTTCACAAAGAAATTTATGATAAAATTAAAATATTCCGCAATGTGGATAAAATTAATTTTATCCACTTCGTGGAAAGGTCAAAAACATTTTATGAAATTGATGCCCAAATCATGAAACGGGCAATTTTATTAAGTGGATGCGTCATATAAATACATAATAAATATATTGATAAAAAATATTACAGCACTGATATTTTAAAAGATTTATTTCTATATTTATCCACNGTGTATTTGAAATTCCGATAACCAGAATCTGAGTACCTAATTCAACTTCTATACTTAGGTTCAATAATAAAAATAAGTAAAGACATCTACTTTCTCTAAGTTTACGATAGAAATCAAAATCACCGAAAATTAAAAACGAAAACATATTTTGACAGTTATAATTAATATAGAACAAATATTTTCGATATGTGAAGTATAGTATTAAATCGAATATTTTATGATTTTCGATTGTATATTTGTTTGTAAATTTATAATCATTATAATGATGTCGATTTACATCGAGAATGTTAACGTAGTTTATGGACCTCCGTGACACAATGTATTTATTCTACAATAAAACTATCCAATGTTTTTGTTCCCTAACAATGTTCTTATATGCGTAAATATTGTTTTGTCGCGTGTGTTCCACGACACGTTTCTGTCGACTTCTTTCGTTTTCGATGGCAAACACTCGGTTCATTTTCTTCGTTAGTCGTCGCATTTTGCGCGTCGATTACGGTCGTCGTGAACTGATTTATTACATTTCGCGTTGAGAGGATGATATACTGCCAAGTGATGTCTCCGAAATAAAACTACGCAACATTCCATATTTTCGTTCAGCATTATTAAAAATTCCATAAATGGACAGATTATCAATTTAAATAAATTTTGGTGTCAACTTTTTTGATTTCCGTCAACCCGTTAACGATATACTCTACTTTTAACTTTATTTTGATATGGAGGAAGCAGTAAATTCTACAATTTCAGTCAGATTTTGATTTTAACTTTTTTTTTAAAAAAAAATAGTACATTACACACTTTTTTATTGTTTGAATCAAAATGCATTTTATCCCCAAATTCTGCCCGAATGGGTTTGGCAGAAAAAAAATGTCTAACTCGTGTTTGAACTCGAGACCTCCGGGTCAACGACAGTTACATACTATCCATACACTACGACAATTAATAATTTATGATTTATTTTTTCATTTTATAGTGAGCGATTTTAAAGAATCTGGAAAATGGTCTGGATCACCACAAAACGGTAACCATTTGAATTATTAATAATAACAGGAAAAATTGTTAGACAAAAAGATGTATGTGGACTGAGGAAGAACGTAAATGTTTACAATTTTTTGAATCATCCCACCCATACATCATAAGTGTGTCTAATGTCGCTGTGCTCCTTAAATTCGTTCTTGTATTCGGTGCATTACCTCATGGTACAGTAATAGAAAATATAAGTTATTTCCTAGCCTCTTATTTGAATTTATATAACATGATTTATTAAGTATAAATTGTATCCTGTTAAACGTCGGCTCTTCCTGGAATACTAAGTGTTACACTATACATAGTTGAATTTATTTTTATGACATTATAGTTTTATAGTTAAATTATTAATATAATTATGAGTTTCCCGATGCCATACAAACTTAGGTTTTACATATGCGATCCTAAATGTGTATTTTGCAATGCACATTGTGTATCGGATGATTTTTCTGAAATTTATTACCTATCTTGATTTAAAAGAGAAGAATTTGGGTTTTTCTACTATTTAAAATAAAAATGGAAACCAATGTCATTCCACAATCCTTTGACTCATAAATTACATTCTCCAACCTGCGGACGATACAAGTGCGCTTGGACCACATTTTTTAGCAATATTTTAAATAGTTTGACGTCAAAATTATATATTTTAATTTATTATTATTATTTTTATGAACCTTGTTCTAAGTAGAAGAAATAATAATACATTCCGAGGTAACGAGTGTATTAAGCTTGGTTTATACCACAGTCTACAAAAGTTCGTCCGAATAGAATGTTTATGTGAAGTTCAACAAGATATTTTCGAATATTTCGAGGGTTCACGATGTTTAAGAAGTTTTCTATAGTCCTATCGAAAATACATTTCCGAATAGAATATAAACATTTTTTCATGCGAATTGTATATCAAGTGATTTTACCAAAAAAATATTAAAGGGGTGTATTTGAAATTCCGATAACCAGAATCTGAGTACCTAATTCAACTTCTATACTTAGGTTCAATAATAAAAATAAGTAAAGACATCTACTTTCTCTAAGTTTACGATAGAAATCAAAATCA